TAATGTGCAGATATAAGGAGCACTAAATATCTCCTTTGCTGCAGTCACTCTGTTTATGCAACTCTGGGCTGCACAGGGTATGGTAGTTTCTGTTAGAGGCCCAAGTCTGGCTCAGAAACCAATGTTTGACACCTTCCTGCAGTCTTGTCTGAGGACAGAGCTTCAGTCTCCATCATCAGTCATCCAAGGAGGGGTTTTGACTTTCACACAAAGACCTTCCTCTCATAGATCCCATCCAGGTGTGTCTGTAGTAGTTGAGAAGGATTGTCTGAGGTCACCAGAGACCTTAACCAGCCTAGCCAGGGACAAAAGATGGCCATGGTTTTCTGTTTTACTTGATTAACTGGCTAATTTATAATGAATTTATATAATATGTTAAATAGAGAGGTGTCCATTGGGCTCAGCAATACAAGGGTCATTGTTGAGAATTAAGTGAAGTGGAGAGAATTCCAGTTGTACGACAGTGTAGAATGAGTAGGAAGCATACAGTGATCTCAGTGAAATGAGAAAACATCCAAGAATTTTCCAGGCAATTAGAAGTAGGAAAATGTAGTGTTAGGTCTGAAAGAGTGCACAGTGAGGTGAGGACATTTAAAAAAATTAAGGGTATATTTGAGTATTCATTGTATTCATTAAAAAGATCCAGCCTAATGGATGTAGATAATACTTTGCAACAGCAGTTTTGACACTTACATTTCACAGTATTACTTTTCAACTTTGGCTATTCATTTAAAATTTGTTTGATAAGTCTAAATAGGAATATGAAAATGTTTCATTTTGTAATTTCATTACTGTTGCTACTACATATATTTTGGGATTTGTTTGCTTTCACTTTGTGTATGGTAATTGACTGCAAGTTCATCAGTTATGTTTTTATTATGATTGCTTACTTTCGAGCAAAGATTGGAGGTTTTTTCATGAATGTTGTTTAGCATTTAATTATTTTACTTAGATAGCTGTATTGGGGATGATGCATGAAAATTTTGTGTGATAATTCAATTAGTGGTTCATACTGGGTCCACTCTGCAAGTGTGTTTTAACACAGAAATTTCTAGTACATATTTTAAAAAATCACCTTTTATATATAATGTGTATTATACATCTGTTTTCCTTATTTCTACCTCTTGCATTTTGTGGTAAGATATTATTTAGAAGAACAATCATGATTCCTTTGTGGAAGACTTTCTTTGTATTCAACTAATAATATCTATCTTTACACAAACATGTTTTATTTCATTTACTTTTATATAGGTAGAAGTTGAAAGCTTAGATGCTGCTTCCTCCACTGCTTTTTAAAAAGTGTATTTTTATATTTTTATTTCCAGGTCTTCGTCAATTTAATCTTTAACTAAAGTCCCATGTTGATGTGATTAAATTATTGTTATTTTATATCTTTTTCTTCAGAAGGTACTCTAATATTTTATTCTATTTCATTGAATATAGTTATTGAAGTTCATTGTTCTTAACCTTGTTTATATTAACTGCCATTCTTTTACTTTTTGAATTCTCATTTCCTTACTTTTCCCCTATACAAATATTCATAATCATGAATCCATAAACAAGGACCTGAAACATGAGGTCCTGCTCTTTTGGATGTTATGATAATGAAGAAGTCCTAGTCCAGTGAAATAATTGTCTGATATGATTTCCTCAGGGATAAATCATATGAAGAATATAAATTGTCAAGGAAGCTTCAGGATTTTCTGTAATATCTGGGGAGGCCTTTGCATTTTAGAGGAGAACAGAACCATGGCTAGAGTGTACTTATTGGATGTTATAAATGACATAAAATTCCCAAACCCAAAACAACAGAGGAAACAATGCCTCAAAGAAAATGAGAGAAGCGCCAATACATCTGCTACTGGGCCACATAAAAAAAAGTGTGGTCAATAAACAGGAATCACAATTAGACCAGGAGCTGACCTGAACATCATAACGGGGCGAGTGGAGCAGTGAGCCTGTGGCCCCTGGAGTCGGGGGTCACAGCAGAACCCACGCTGGCTGCTGCTCTCTCTGAGCCTGGCTCTGATTGGGCTTGTCATTCATATTGCTTTTCCCTCGATAGGCAAGAGTTAATCTTTGTAATCTTACATTTCCTACAGTAGATTCCAGATTTTTTTACTGTTTCCCAGAGTAAAACAGACCTTTCACATTGCAACAAATTCTGCTTGCACTCCCACAAACCAAGAAATACAAATATATGCATGCACACACACAAATGTGTAAATGAACACAGATAAGTATTAAATGACTTGGTAGGTATCCTTGTGATGCATGATGCACCCTGGTATTTTATTTTGTGCCTTATTTACTCTATTCTACTTAATTTTTACAACCCATAGTCTGACACACCAATGGGTACCAATCTCAGATTATGGAAAGTATTCCCCTTGCATGTACTCCATACCCATGTTTGTATTTTTATGCATCTTTACTTTCATCATTGGCATTTTATATAGAAAATGTTCTCTCATTCCTTCATGCAGTAAATACTGATTCAGCTACTCTTCCTAACTAACTACTAACACTGGTATGGAGGGGATGGTGAGAATATATGACATTGATATATGCCTCAATTCAATCACAGTTTAGGAGGGAAAAATTGGAATTACAAAAAAATCACAGAATGATAGCCCCTACATCTAAACTCATTACATGAGGAAGTGTCCTTTTCCTCTGGAATGTAAAGGGGAGAAAGGATACTGGCATTCTGTAAAAGGAGATGGAGATTCAAAGATGGGGATGGTCTGAAAACATCCAGAGAGACCTGTGGGCAAGGCTCCAGGCAGAGGGAAACAGGCGTAGAGAGATAACACTGAGGTTGCAGCATCAGGTGAAAGAAAGTCAAGTTCAGTGTTTGGGAGATCAGTGAGTTCAGACGCAGGACAGCGTGAGGATGAAGCTGGCAGAAGTTTTCCTGATGTCTAGCCTGATGTTAAGGTACAGAATTTGGGCTTCACTATTTTTAGGGAGACTTTCAATGGGGCAGTTTAAATCAGGGAAGCTGATCACCCTTGGAACACAGAAATATCTGTCTGAGTTGATATGAATATTAGCTAGAGGAGTACCAGACTGAGATAGATGAGAGACACAACGTGGAATTGAAATCAGGCTGTGAAGAAAGAACAGACAGATGGTAAATGAATGAAGGCACTGGGGAAATAGAAGAAAAAAATCACCCCTATCTCATCACCAGTGGTATGTAAGAACTAATGTTATGCTTTGAACTAACAGGAAGGAACTATATGTTTTCCTTTGAAAGTATACTGAATAAAACTGTCCACCACTTTAGGAGGATCGATACTCGTATCCACTTACTCAGGTGAGGATATTAACCTGGCAAATAGTTTAAAAAGTTCTCCACATTCAAACAGCTAATATGTGGAAGGATGCAAAATTTGGTTTTCTGATTCCAAAATTAATTATTTACTATCATTTCAGTGTATTTCACTATTTTATCTTTTAAAATCCCTTACAATCATATGTTGTATACTTGCTAGTGTAAATGTTGGGTTGCTTCCATCTGCTTAGCTTTTTCTAAAGGGATATTCAGGCTGTAATTTGTCTTGACCATAAATACATGACTCCTTTTTCTTTAGGATAAATTGTCTTTTGCTGCTTTATTAGTTATTCTAGACATTATAAGGATGTAAGTGTATTTGGTATGCTGTCAAGGCCAAAGTTGCTCTATTACTTTTCATAACCTCTCAGGGACCAGCTGAGTCACTTAATCTTTTTCCCCATCTTATTCATTTTTTCCATTTTTTATGTTTTAATTTGTTCAAATATTTCATTAAATGCAGAATGGTCATATTAAAATGAAGCCCCATGTTCACATACCATGGAGACTCTGCCATTGGAATTGGGTGCTATTTCCATATTCTTTAGGTATAGGTCACCTGATGTAAAAGCTTGAACAGTAATATTCCTTTCCTAAATAAAATGGCTGCGGTGTGATGATCTTGGTAAGAAAATGGCCCCAGGGAGTCGTAGTGCACTGTGTGTGTTTCTGCTTTGTGGGGAACGAGCAGTTCTCCGAGCAGGAGTAGCTGAGCTCATTTATTCCTGCAAGTGATCCATAAAAGAAAGATGAAAGAACATTAATCAGTACATGTAAGTAATAAGGGGATCCATTCTACTCAAAGTTTGCTTAAAAGGAAAATTAATGAAGTTCAAGAACAAATAGACAATGGACTGCCTGTGTCTTGAAATTTCAGCGGCAGGGAAGCCACCTCCTTCCTCAGCATCTTCTGACACCACGTCCTCTCATTCTCCCTCTTGCTCCTTCTTCTCATGACACTGTCTCCATTTTGAGTCTTGCATATATATCGAAAATATCTTCCTCAGGCCTTTGCACTGGCTCTTTCTCTGCATGGCACACTTCCCCAGATAACTGCATGTGTCCCCATATATCTTGAGGTATCTATTCAAATGTCACCTTGTGTGCAGGTCTTCCTGAACTGTCACTGAAAATCAGCACCCCATCCACTATATTTTATACTTTTTTTCCTTAGCAACTCTCACCATCTCACATGATATATATTTATTTGCTTATATTCCTTCACCATGATTCTATCCTAGGGATTTTGTTACTTACCATCCTATGCTATTTAAGTAGAAAATGGTCAGTAGTTAACATATAATCCTCACATGCATGATATCATTTATCATTAAAACTGTAATACATAACATCTTGGGATAAAGGCTGAGAGTGGAACAGAAATTCCTAATCAAAAATGTCAAATAAGAATCCTTGAATGTGTTGAGAGTCATACAAATAATACACATAGATTATTTTACTGTAATATATGATAAATTGTAGCATTTCAAATGTCAGGAATGCCCATTTGTGTGAAAATTAATTGTGATATTTTTTCATTCCTAGTTATCAGCACCACCACATGGGAGCAGGCAATGTTACACGAATCTCAAAATTTATTCTTCTGGGATTGTCAAAAGAACCAGAAATACAGGCCCTCATATTTGGGCTTTTCCTCTCCATGTACCTGATCGCTGTGTTTGGAAACCTGATCATCATCCTCGCTGTCATATCAGACTCCCACCTCCACACCCCTATGTACTCCTTCCTCTCCAACCTGTCTTTTGTAGACATCTGTTTCACCACCACCACCATCCCCAAAATGCTAGTCACTATATGGACAGAAAGCAAAGTTATAACCTTTGCAGGCTGCATCAGCCAGATGTACTTCTACATACACTTGGCAGTGTTAGATGACTTTCTTCTCGCTGTGATGGCCTATGACCGCTTTGTGGCCATCTGCCACCCTGTCATCATGAGTCCCCTGCTCTGCGGGCTGCTGGTTCTGGTCTGCTGGGTCATAAGTGCCCTGCATTCCTTGTTAGAAAGCTCAATGGTGTCACAACTGTCCTTCTGTAGAGACTTGGATATCCCCACTTCTTTTGTGAAATCAAACAGGTGATCCAGTTTGCCTGTTCTAACACCTCCCTTAATGACACACTGATGTATACAGCAGCAATGCTACTTGCTGGGGCTCCTCTAGCTGGTGTAATTTACTCTTACTTGAATGTCATTACAGCCATATGTGTAATCTCATCAGCTCAGGGGAAGTATAAGGCACTTTCCACCTGTGCATCTCATCTCTCTGTTGCCTCCTTATATTATTGTACAAGCCTAGGAGTATACATCAGCCCTGCTGCTACCTACAGTTCACATTCAAGCGCAACAGCTTCGGTGATGTACACCTTGGTCACACCCATGCTCAACCCCATCATCTACAGTCTAAGAAACAAAGACATAAAAGGGGCTCTGAAAAGAGTCCTTTGTATGGAAGGTTTCAAAACGCAAATTGTTCTGGAGATGAAATGCCCATGATTTCAGGACTCAAAGCCTCAGGACCAGAAATGACTATTCCTTAATTAGTTTCTGAAAGGAGAACTTCTTTCTATTTCCTGAAATTTCCATTTCTTTCACTTCCAGTTCTTTATACAATTTAAGTAATTCAAGTTATTAAACTTTCTGATCTTTCTCACAGTTTCCCTTTGTCCTTTTTTTCCTTCCACCACACCTTTTTTCAACTGTAAATCAATAAATACTTGGAAATTACCATTTATTTCTTGGAGCAACATGGATCTTTTTAAGAATAATTTTTTCCATAATGACAACATTATCCTTATTCATTTTTAACCCCTCACCCTAGCCTCAGATACACCTCACTGTTAGCCTGGAGATAAAAAGAACACTGACCCTAACCTTAAGCAATAATGCTAACTCTAACTAAAGCCATAAATCCACCCCAAACCTAACATAAACCTAATCCTAAACCTAGCTGTACATCCTAACTTCACTCTCACCAACACTTCACTGTTAGCTGTAGATAAACTTAAACCTTCTCCTAAACTACCACCTTACCCTTACTCTAACCATATCCATTATTTCCCCCTAATTCTAAACTTAAGCCTCACTTTAAACCTTGATATATCCTGAGCTCTAACACTCATCCTAACCCTCAAACTCACCAACAACTCACTGTTGTTTGAAAGCTAAACTGAACTTTTACCCTACAATTAACCCCTTACCCTAACACTAATCATAATGATTTTATCACTGTAAACCTAACTGAAACCAAACCCTATCCCTCACACCTAAACTGAGCCCCATGTGCCCAAAACCTGAACTCTGAGCCCTATCTCTAACCCCTGAACCAGAATCCCAAAGCTGAACTAAAACCTGAACTCCAAACCCTGAACAAAAACACAAAATTAAATCCTTAACACAAACCCCAAACTGTACACTGAGCTGTCCCAGAGCCTGATGCCCTCTAACCAAACAGGAATCTTGGATACTTACCGGAGAAGCCTGTAACCTCTCACCCTGACCCCTCACCAAGAGCGTTAGGAATAGAAAGGGAGAACAATGTCCTCTTCAGACCCTGATTGAAAATGTTGAAAAACTGCCATAGAAACATTAATTAGTTCCTTGAATCTTCCTTCTAGGCTCATGGTTCTCTTGGAACTCCCACCTTTATGCATAGATGATTTCCTTAAAGGATCCTGGTAAAACCAGAAAGGAAATTTTCCTGCCAAATCTGTTCCTAGTAGACTGGGTTGTCTGTAACCCAGCTGATAGAGTCATTTTGGTTTTTGTTTTCATGATTGTTCTTTTCTCTTGCTTCTCCTGCCTTGCATATGTCTCAATTGCCAGGACCTAACCTGCATTCTGAGTGAGTCATTTCTCAGACTCAAAATCCTGTGTGGATTAGGCTTCTTGAAATCTTCAAACATTTACTGGGATCAAACACAAAACCACTGGCAGTTCCAGAAAACTACTTTTACTGTCATCAATGAAGGGGAAAACTTGATTGCTTTGTACAGAAAGCAGAGGCATGACACAACTTAGGCTTCATAATCCTTTTGCCAAAACAATCATTTCAGTTAGACATCATTTGGACCTTTCTTGTAGTCACTACTTATCAAATGTTTGTCTCTGCTAAGGGATAGCTTTCAAATGTGTTAAACACTAGCAACAGGTCTTCAAGTCTGATCTGGATTATGGGATTGAACTCTCAGTAAAGGGCATTCTGTGGATTTCTGTTCTGAGGAAACCCACTTTCCATGCCAAAAAGGGATGTGTAAAGTGGTCTTGTGGGTAACGGATGGACATTGCTTGCATTTATGCGAGGATGCCTCCTGCTCTCCTACTCTGGGTTGTGGACCCTAAGGATGGATGATTATTCCAATGGAGATACTTGGCAATGTGGGAATGCATTGGGCACCAACAATGCACAGGGCAACCAGAAAGAGAAAAGAGTATCCTGCCTCCAAAATTCAGTGTCCAAAGGTGAGAATAACCATGAATACAAGCTCACCTATATCGTTTATGTGGGGTTCATTGTGGCAGGTGGTATCAAATGGCTCAAATTTTAATTGAAAACAATATGCCATGATTTTACAGGCCAGAATAGTTTAGTCACAATTTTCCAAATGGAAAGAGTGAGAAAAATAGACCGAATAGATCTGGAGTTAAGGAGATATTATACCATGTTTTCCAGCTGGCTGTGTAGGTGTAGGTGGTCCATGATTTAATTAATGTATCTTGGTCCTAGATCTTGTAACGTTTAAATAATTGAATTCTTGCCTGGATGGTCAAGAAGGAACCCAGTCTAGCAGACATCTTGAGGTGAGCCCATTGTCTCTCACTGTGGGAATTTGACCTACAAACTATAAGAGCATATATAGTTTTAAAGGTAGGACTATGAAAATTCTTTACCTCAGTAATTTAATTCAAATATAGATTTACCCTGGAATATTTTGTTCAAAGCTATGGATATTCTATTTCCAATTCATTCATTTAGTTTCCTGTGGTTAATGGAATTTCACAAGGAAATGTCATCTCAGTGAGAAGGTCTTTAAGTTAGCTTGAAGATAATCTTATAATAAGCTGATGCCTTGTTCCCTCAAGTCATGATTAACTCTATCCCTAAATTGAACACTTACCTTAACCATCTGCTACCCCAATGTAAAACACTACTAACCATAATCCCTAGAGGAAGCCTTAAATCTAAGCCTAACACAAACCTTAACCCTAAACTTCAACACTAACTCAAACCCTAAAACTTAACTCTTATCTGCATCCTGATACCAAACTTCTGAAAACACAAACCACCACCCTAAGGCCTGAACAACAATCCCACATCCTAAGCAATGCAAGCAAACCCAAACTCCAGGTCTGATTCCTAAGCATGAAACTGACATCTGATCTCCAGCCTCAATCCTTATATCCAAATCTAAAGACTAATCCTGTGCCCCTCAGAAAACTGACAGCTATCTCTTGATTCTCATCCTGAGCCCTGACCCGGATCAAGGAGAATGGATGCCAGTGTAGACAGATGGATGCAGGAGTTATGGAATGTGTGCTGCCAGTTCATGCACTTGGAAGTGCCTTGGCAGAGCTCTCCATACATGTGATGAACACCTGATGCTCACTGTCTGAGATGATGCATCTTCTCAGGGCTCAAGAGAGAATGTACCAAAAGGGTAGCATGACTGGTATGGAGCACTTGCATAAGCACAAGTGTTGCAATAGATATATGACATCACAGAAGCAACTGTGATGACTCTGTTCTAGGGACAGAGGCTCCTGGTGAGGGAAACATGTTCCTGTTTCAGTCCCTGTGACCTCAACTTTGGGTGCAATCCTTGGCAAGCTTGGGGCTAATTGCCCAGGAGGCTGTAGATAAAAAAGAATTTAAATCCAAGGTGCATGCTTGTGTTTGGGTCATAGTGACCTATACGGATCATAGAGTAGCCACTTGGTTCTTGCCTAACCCTGGTGAGTGTGGGTCCTTCTCCTGGACTGTTCTGTAGCCATGTTCCTAGAAAAGGGAGGTGCACGAGAGAAACAGCAGGTGACCCATCTGTGAGCACAGCACTCCTCTCTGCAAATTGTGGATGAGAATGCTCAACCTGCAGCCTAAATATCTCCCTTACCCTCACCTTAAACTTCACCCCTCATGCTCAACCTCACCGACACCTCACTGTTAGACTGGAGGTCATCTGAAACCCTACAGTAACCCTAATCACTTAATGTAACTCTAACTGAAGCCATAACTTCACCCTACACATAACACTAAACTTAATCCTAACCTGGAACTAAACCCTAACCTCATCCTCACCCATGTGGGCAGACAACGAGCATCAGCTGCCTTCATAGCCCTCCTCAGGGAGCCTGGGAACAGAGCCATGCCCGGACAAAAATGGTGAAGGTACCAGTGGGACCTGGCATGGGCAGAGACCAGGACTACTGAGCTCCCGAGCCCTAAGGCCACTGGTTGGGAAAACCCACTTCACCGGAATAGGTCACAACACACTGTGTACCTGGTGTCTTGCCAGTGGGTTTCAGCCCCGGGCAAGTTCGCTATGGATTCAGTATGACCAAAGAAAATAACAGCAAAAACGTTCTTGGGGTGAAAGTGTTATACCCAACATTATTTCCAGGTGGCAGGTCAGTCACTAAAATCCCATTCATCCTGATGCCAAACTTCTGAAACCACAAACCACCACCCTAAGGCCTGAACAAGAATCCCACAACCTAAGCAGTGCAAATGCAAACTCCAGGTCTGATTCCTAAGCAGGAAACTGACATCTGATTCACTCAGAGCGAGTCTGCATGCAGCATGCCAGTTGCTGCCTCTGGGCCCCTCTGTCTGCACTGCCATCCTTTGGGCCCCTCTGTCCACACAGCCATCCTGCACAGCAGTCCTCTGGGCCTCTCTTCCCAGGTGTCCCACACAGCCATCCTCCAAGCCTCTGTCCTCAGTGCTGCCAGCATGCCAGCCTCCACTCTGCTCTCATGCATCCTTGCAGCCATGCCACGGTTTTGCACCCAGAGCACTGAGCAGAGCTCTTTATATAGAGTCAACAGTCATGTATTGCCCACAGGTGTGCAGTGAGCTAGTCAATCACAGCCAGGTGAGAATCCTGGCCATAGGAACTTTCATTTTATCCACACTCCACACCTCCAGGATTCTCTCTTCTCATTCTATGTGCCCTTAGTTCTCTGCAATTGTTCCAGTGCAAGGAAGCTCGAACATTATTTTCCAGCCTCTTCAGCAAAATGTCTTGCAGACCCACAGGTCGGATTCATGGCTCTGTCTCTGGCCTCTGCCTCTTTGGTCTTAATGGCTGGAACTTCTGCTCTGGTTTCAGTTGTTGCTTTAGCTCCAGTAAAACCCTATTTGGCTTCCTGTCTAATTTCCTTCCATCTATTCCTGCCCATATCAAATCAACCCACATCTGGGTCCTTGTAACCCTCACGGGGCCCCTCAAATTCCTCCTGCAAGTAACAGGTCTTATTTCTTTCTGGGTTCTTGTTGC